AATGACACACATAGTACATCCATGCCTGAGTAAGCTAACACTTCCTCTCTCTCCGGCTAACTCTACAAAAATAAAAATAACAAAATAGTTCAATAGTCCAGCATAGTCCAGAAAAATATTATAAGTCTTTCAAAGAGTATAAATAATCTTAGACACCATAACATAGCTAAGGGTAGCAATATGGCTGACAACAAGACAATGTCAGCTTCCACATAGTTCTTAATTCTTCTGTTTGCTGGATGTTCACCACAATACTCTGTGCAACACCCCAATTGTTGAAAGGGTAATACAAAAATAGCGGCATTAGACAGCACTGCATCTTCAGGACTTTCCAAGTTAGTTTATGTCCTCATAAGTAAGCATCTTTCTTCGGCCAGCATGTTTTTTTGACCAAACAGATTTCATTGCAAAAAAGGTAGGTAGGCAGGTAGGTCAGCCAGAGAGATTGGTGTGTAGTCCCAAATATCAGGCGGCACAAATACTCCAGTATGGTCTCTATAATCATACAAACACAAGGATCAGTATGACATCAATAAATTAATTATCTAAACTCAAATAGGAGACTAAAGTTAAACTCTTAACATGTAGTTCTCTCAGTTTTGCTTATGATTCATTGAATTTGTCCTTTATAAAATTGTAATACATAATTTCCCTTTAGAATGCCTTGGTATGGATGAGAGAAGCACTCATTCTATATAAATGCTTGTTAGGTACTAAAACACTAACATATACATATTGGTATAATTCCCAATAAAATGCTGTTCTTAAACTTAAACCTTGATTTGATAATCTCAATTAATTACTTTAATAACATTGGAATGCTGAAGTCTATCGGAAATTTTGTGGACCCTGATAACATCTTTGGAAACCGAAACCTTTTATAGATCCCGATGTCCAAAAAGCCACCAGTTCTGTATGTGTGTGATCATGTTTTAATACATGGTGGAACCTCCTTACAGTTATCCCACTTAAACAATATTTTTTTTTTCTTCAGAACAACTAGGAATGAAATAGGAGAAACAAAATAAATTACTATTGTTCTAAAGTACTTTGTTTAATACAGGTTTGGGAAGAGTTGTCTTGCTGTGTTAAGGTTGCAAGTGACCTCTGATAAGGAAGGGACAGCAAACTGTAGACATATGTTATATTAAGTTGCCCTCACTTGTCAGGTCCTGGAAACCCACTTATTTTATTGCAGATGCCTCTATTATACCACGTTACAAATTGACTAAGCATACTTATTATCCTATTTTATTTTAGCTATTTCACATTGCGCAGCCTATGCAAACAGTGTCTAGGTCCCAACTTCAGCTTGTACATCCTCTAAGAGCCAGCATTAATACTGTTTTATCACTCAAAACTATATATAAAGTATTAAAAACATGAACCATCTGTGTATTAGGCTGAGGTTGTTGGGTGTGGGTATAGTTTGAAAGTTGTGGTTGGTATTGAGGAACCTGCCAGGGTGGGTCCTTGAATGCCAGCTGGGCCAGGTTCTCCCTTAGCACCGGGTTCTCCTTTGTCTCCTTGAGCACCAGGTTCACCATTGTTACCCTTAGGTCCAGGGGAACCTTTGGGGCCCTGAGGTCCAGGAGCACCACAGGCACCAGGGACACCAGCAATACCAGTGGGGCCAGCTTGACCAGGAGAACTGGGTTCACCACAAGCACCTTGGGGTTAATCCCTGCTATCCATAATTAAAACATTGCTGAAGTTACCACCTCTACAAAAGTTAGATCCTTTGATCAAATCCTCTACCTCTGCTTTCAAAACTTTTCTGATTCAATCTCCTATCACCTCCCAAATGTCCTTGTCTCGCCTGCTTAAGATCACAATCCTTTTGTGACCGATACAACATACTTTTCCCTCTTTCTTTATATCAAAACAACCTGCTGTATCTTTCTCATGAATCTTCCCAATCTTCTCAAGAAATTCAGTTGGGGTCAAAGAGGGCCAGTCACAGACCAACAATTTAACCAAAAGTGAGCAAGGAGGAAGCATATTCCATATGCAGGTCGAGATGACATAACTCACCCCCTCTTCGTGTACACCTCATTGTGTACCACACAGATATAATATTAATAAGCTTTTGAAGATATATTGTGCATGTATAGCACGGTTGTCTAGGGGTGTATACATAAACAGTGAAAGCAGAGTCTTCATATAGGGTTTGCAATACTGACAGTCTGGGTCATAGGTGTAATGCAGACATGCGGTTAGGAACTTTTCCATTGTCAGAATACATTGAAAACACTAATATATTGCAAATATTAAAATCATATTGCAGCTGTTTCCTATACCTGCAAGCATATGGTTGTAATACTTCAATTGAGTTCAAATTGAGTATCAAAAGTCTAACCACAAAAACTAAATTTTATATGCTTATCAAAAATGAGTTTACCCCCTTAGCGATTTAATAGGGTGACCTCTTCCCATATTATGGTTCCTTTTATAATTATTATATTATTTATTCTCTTCTGGGTCTGCAAAATGCTTTCAATATACCAATACAAATATAATACAGTAGTTTAGAATTGCCTCAAAAGAAATTATTTATCAATATTTATCTGATCTCTATTAAAATACCATTTCATCATTTTGCTATAATCAATGAGGCATACTAGATGAATCTTAATCTTGGAAAAAAACCTATCCTATACATCCATAATTTTTTTTTTTTTATAACCATATAACATAACAATTGTTTATGTTAAAGATAACAAATTTTTCTTTTTCTTAAATAATACAATGCACTTTAAAAGTAGAGTTAATTCTTAATACTCCCCTAATAATACGGAGAGAGAGAGAGAGCCATTTAAAATTGGAAACGTGGAACCACGATTTTGAAAAGCAGATGATTTTTTTTTCATTTCTTTCCCAGGGGCCTCTTTCTTGTCGACTGATCAGCGTTTTTTAATCTATTGTAAAAAGACACTAAAGGCTTGCGTTAATGACATGCAAATAATCTTTAAATATTCTTCATACTCATTGTAATATCACACGTCATCTTATAACAAAGAACACAACGAAATTAGCAGATATCCAGCAGACATGCCAATACAAAAAGCATATTCATGGACAGGCAATTAACTCAATCCAAAATAAATTAATAAATGTAATGTAGGTTCCCATGTTTGTGCATTATGCATGTCTGCAAACTATGCAAGCAGTACTGCTTTAAGATTAGATCAGAGAACCTGGCAACTGGACAGGAAAGTCAAATTTTGGCAAAAAGTCCATTATTGCAACAGAATTTTGGAAATCAGCTAAAACTTACAAAAACAGACTCCCCCCTTTTTTCTTTCTTAAGACTACAACTCATATTGCTCTTGAACTAGTATTCAATAATAAACCAGTTATTTAATAGATTATTACGCTGCCATTTCCATCTGTATCAATACTAAGACAAACTTATTCAAATATAATTTAAAATAACACAGCATAATACACATTAACATACATGACAATTAGACTGCATACTTCAAAATGAGTACCCAAAACACACATTTATCACAATCTCCATTCACACAGAATAAACTTCTAACAGCTGTATTCAGAACATATTATTGTAAGGTATACCAATTTTAGTTTGTATCAGATTTATTTAAGAGTTCTGGTACCAAAGGATTTATTTTTTATTTTTAAAGAAGGGATCCCGTACGGCCATATAACGCGTTTGACTTAAACATTTGTATAACACTTGCATTAACCAGTTGCAACATATGTACCCTGTCCATAGAATTTCTCTCTTATAAGCTTATAGAACATTTGGACCAGATTACACAGACATGGTATCACCTGCATTTGTCAGAACTCTCAAAGACTCAAAATATTTATACTACTCCATGTTAAAGGCATGGCAAAATTTTGACCGGTCTATTTGAGTTTCCAAAAGTCAGATCAACACAGGTAAAAACCTTTGTCCATGGTTTTCTGATCCTACATTTCATGACCAAAATTTCAAACCCATTTCTGCACAGTTTGGGTCACAATCAATAAAATCTCAGCAACCCCATACAACAATTTACAGAATACATACAATTTAAAGCACATACAACATGTGACGTACTAGAATACTACAAGTTAGCTTACAGCACAAAATGAAGCATGTGTTGGACCGCTGAAAATATAAATGTTGCTCTCTAATTTATAATCATCTACATTTACAACATAAATTCTCTGCAACAAACACACAGGGCAGAATGAATGTGGTGTTTGACATTTTGAATGAAGTGACTTTTTGTCCCAATATGAAAATAAAGGGCTCATCATATAAACAATCATACATCCCACTCTCATGAAAAAGTGTAGTGGGCTTATAGTACTTTTGTCCAAGTATAAAAATAAAGGGCTCATTATGCAAACATACATGCAGAGAAATCATGTTAGTTCTAGAATCTGTAGCCCCCCTTAAAAACCTCTATTTTTTTTTTCTTATTCATCATCACCTTTTACATGTACTTTTTACATTCCCTCAATTAAGACTTTATGCTTAAAATCAGCGTTGCACATCATAAAATAGCACATAAATTAGCAAGCCGGAGTAATGCCAAACATCCATCATACCGGGTTTAAACAATAATCTCTTTTAACCCCTTATTTTTTTTTTATTTTATTTTTTTTTTCTAAACCATAGTAGTTTTTTTTTTTTCTAAACCATTTAGTCTTCAAAACCCATATGTAAATGTACATCACATAACATGATAGCCTACCAAAGGCTTGAAAAACATTTTACCACCTGGCCAAAGGTGGACCTCTTACCAAAGAGGAATTGTCTAGACAATTTACACAATTCTGCCTACCAAAGGCATTTCTCCAACTCAAGGAATAATAGAAGTCTACCTAAGACTTAAAAAAACATGTCTACCAAAGACACTATCCTGCGAAAATCCCCTTTAAAATTTAAATAGTGAAAAACCCCATTAAAACAAGAAATGCAATGTATGGGAGGATGGCAGAAGCAGGTAAAGTCCCCAACCCCTTAAGGACGCACAACAGAAATATTCCGTCATGATTCCCTTCTATTCCAGAAGTTGTGTCCCCAAGGGGCTAAAGATCCTCTTACCTGTAATTTGCGTTCCCAATTGCACCCAAACTTCTGACACCAGTTTGTTGGGGATAAAATCAGCCTGGACCCTTTGTGGATGATGGATATTTGCCAACTCATTCAGAGCTCTGGAAATTGGAAATGAATAGCAGAGAATAGTGTTCAATAACCAATTCAAATTGTATTCATATGTCAGTTATATTTATACCCCATTTTCATAGCAGGATGGGAGGGGGGAAAATGAGCATATGGGCGTGACAATGACATTGTTTTTCACAAGTTATAAACAGCCGCTTCTAGTTATAATTCAGTGTTATATAATGTATGCTTATTGGATAAAACCCAGATGATTACAAATACTGAAATCTTGGACAATTAACAAGAACATCCCAAAATCATTTTCCAAGAACATTTCCTGTAAATAGGATTTTAGATACATTTTGTTTCTGAGAATCGGAGATACAATTCCAAATTTATTCTTGGTTCAAATTAACCCTTATATGAACAGCTAGGATATTAAGCAAAATGGATATTCATATCCTACATGTACACAACTCCAAATTGGCAGGGCGTCCTGGTATTCACAAAACTGAATCTTTACTTGAAAAACAATTCTGGTGGCCTTCATACAAGAAGGATGTTCATGAGTTCGTTCTTGCATGTAGTATCTGTTCCTCTACTAAATCACCTAAAGGTCGTACTTTTGGTTTTCTCATGCCATTACCTATTCCCAATAAACCCTAATCGAGTATTGCCATGGATTTTGTATTCGATCTACCTCCTTCCAAAAATCGTAGTGTCATATTGACTATTATCGACAGGTTCTCTAAAATGACCCATCTGGTCCTGTTAATCAAATTACCATCTTCCTCCGAACTGGCCTCTTTGTTTAAAAGAGAGGTGGTACGTTTACATGGCATACCTCAAGATATTACTTCCGACAGAGGTCCACAATTCGTTTCACGGTTCTGGAGGGCATTTTGTGACCAATTAGGTATCAATCTCAATCTTTCTTCTTCTTACCATCCCCAATCAAACAGGGTTACGGAAAGGATGAATCAATGCCTTGAACAATATATCTGCTGTTTCACTTCTGATCATCAAGACGATTGGGGGGAACTACTTCCATGGGCTGAATTTGCCCATAATAATCTGGTGCACGAATCTACTCAACACAGTCCCTTTTTTATTAATAATGGTTTTAACTCTACAACTCTTCCGAGTTCTTTTTCATCTACCGGAGTGCCAAGTGTTGACAGCACTATCAACAATATGAAAGAGACTTGGTTAGGGGTAAAACATATTTTGATTCAGAAGGCCAAAATTAAAAAAAATAATGTGGATAGACATCGCAGGGCTGTTCCTACATTCGTGGCAGGTGACAGAGTATGGTTGAGTACTCATAAAATAAAATTAACAGTCCCCTCAATGAAATTCTCTCCACGTTTCATAGGTCCTTTCCAAATACTCAAACACTGTTATAGCCTGCACTTGCCGACTGCCATGAAGATACCTAACTCTTTTCATGTTTCCCTCCTCAAACCTTTAATATGTAATAGTTTGTCATGGTTACCTCCAAGCTAGCTGAAGACTGGACCACTTGGATGTCCTGGTTCACGAATGTGGAGAGTGAGGAGCACTGTTCCGTTCAGCAGACCACCAGAGTCCTGTGAATATAAAGCAATCCCACTAGCTCTAGTCTAGCTAGGATACCCTGGTTCCCACAAAATGAGTCAAGGCTGCGATTTGAGGGTCAAACATGAACTGGCTTTAATGGCACAGGGACAGCGTTATTTATGCAAAATCCCAGGTCCAGGGACAGCCCCCTCTGGACCTGATGGGATGCCGGGACAATACACACAGTTGACCAATGACAATATAATGTATCATTTGAAATTGTCCCCGCCCCGCTTGGAGATAATGATTCCAACGGTTATGGCAATTCAATTATCTCCAAGTGCCCAGAGTCCCACGTGTATTTCCAACATGTAAAAACAGCATAAAATATATATTCATAACAGTTTACTAAATACCCCTTACATTCTACCATTCATTAGATAGCTCAGGTCTGAGCACATCATATAGAAGAATAGCGCTCAGACCTCACGAATGGTATAGCCAGTCTCTTGTATATAAGTCTTTTCATGTTTCTTTGTCCCGAACATGAGATGGTGGCCATCTTTTCTATCAGTGAATAGGCGAGCGGGTCTTGGCTTCAAAACCCCTGGAGCGAAACACGGGTAGCATGCTGTACGAATACCACTCTCTGGCTGGTTTCCCAACCCTTCGTGAACCAAACGTAGATCGCCCTGAAGGGTTCAATTAGCCTGCGGTTAACCGCAGCCTCAACGACAGACACATGCCGTGGTGTAGGTGGTCCTCCTTCGGGAGTTTGAATACGGTGAAAATAGTCGACGAACGAGGCCACCCTGAGGCAGTCAATTAAGGTTGTGGTTAACCGCAAACCACAGCTTCCCGGTGGTCGTCCGTTCGGTTATTTCCGAGGTCAACAGGGTTAAGTGGCGGCACACGCCAGGGGCCAGGTGGTCTGAGTTCGTATGCACGAACGAATAGGTAACAATAATACCGAAAGAACCGACTTCGGTAACTTAACATAGGGTAATCCAATACGGGTCTGTGGAGTGTCCGTAACAGTGCTCCCTCCTAGTGGAACACTCTGGAAGACTAAGGCTGTCCAGACTGGTGCGTTATGCTGGACTGAGATCTGTTTGTCGAGATAATCCGTCCGCATTACCGTTCTGTTTTCCGGGTCGGTAGGTGATGGTAAAATTAATGGGTTGTAAGGATAAGCTCCAACGTAAGAGCCTGCCGTTGTCCTCTGAGACCCGATTTAACCACACCAGCGGGTTATGGTCGGTCACCAATGTGAATTCTTGTCCATATAGGTTGGGAGTCAGTTTCTTTAGTGCCCACACCAGGACCAAACACTCCTTTTCCACCGCGGCATAACTGACCTCGCGTGGTAGGAGCTTTCGGCTGATGTAGGCAATCGGGTGCTCCCCTCCATCATCTCCTACTTGGCTGAGGACTGCCCCCAGCCCGAACATGGAAGCGTCTGTGTGGACAATGAAACGTTTGTTAGGGGCTGGGGAAGTCAAAACGGGAGCATTAACAAGAGCAGTTTTGAGGGCTTGAAACGCTGTTTCACAGTGGGGAGACCACAGGACCTGTCTAGGTAGGTTTTTCTTAGTCAGGTCCGTCAGGGGCTTAGCTATGGTACTGTAGTCTGGCACGAAGCGTCTGTAGTATCCTGCAGTGCCCAGAAAGGCTAGTACCTGGGTCTTGATGGTGGGGGTGGGCCAGTTGCTGGCTCTGGGCGCTGTTTCCCACACCCCACACGGTGCCCCGATCTGATCCAGGATCATTCCAACATGAACTAAGTGTTCCTCCCAGGACTCACTGTGGATCGCTATGTCGTCCAAGTATGCGCAGGCAAACTCCTGGAAGCCATTCAGGAATCTATCCACTAGGCGCTGGAATGTAGCGAGGGCATTCTTCATCCCGAACGGCATTACCTTAAAGTGGTATAAACTGAACTGGGTGACGAATGCCGACTTAGGGATAGCTTCCTGAGCCAGAGGAATTTGCCAATAACCTTTACAGAGGTCAATGGTTGTTAGATACTTCCCCCTGGCTATACGATCAAGTAGCTTGTCAACTCTGGCTTCTGTTACCGTTTTATCGTTGAGCCTCCTATAATCCACACAAAATCTGGTGATTCCGTCTTTCTTAGGGACTAGAACCACTGGAGATGCCCAGGGACTGTCGGAGGGCTCAATCAACCCTAATCTAAGCATTTCCTCAATCTCGGTTTTCATTCCAGCCCGTACGGCTTCAGGAATTCGGTAGGGGGTCTGTCTTAAGGGGTTGCTGCCCTGGGGTGTCTACCTGATGGGTGGTTAGGTGAGTGCACCCGGGTTCTTGGGAGAATGTAGTGCTTTTAACGTGGAGTAATTGGCTCAATTGTTCCCTCTCCTCATCATTAAGTCTGTCCCCAATCTGGACCTGTGCCACTAAGTTTGAGTGGGGATTCCTTTCTAGCAAGTCTGGGATAGGAAGTTTGTCTGGGTCCTCGTGAGGGGGAAAGCAGATGGCTGTCACATTCTCGGGCTTCTCTAGATACTCCTTGAGCATATTTATGTGAAACGTTTTTCTCAAGTTTTCATCATGGCAACTAGCTATGATATAGGTAGTGTCCCCATTCTTTTCTATTATCTGGTACGGCCCTTGCCAGGCAGCTTGTAGTTTGTCTGCCTTGACGGGTTTAAGTACCAGCACCTTCTGTCCTATGGTGAAGCTCCGGGATCGGGCGCCCAGGTCATACCATACTTTCTGTCTCCGCTGAGCCGACTGGAGATTAGCCTGGACCGACCTGGCTAATTGCTCCATTCGGTTTCTTAGCTCCAGCACGTATGGTACGATGGGGAGCCCGGCATTCTCGGTCTCCCCCTCCCAGTGCTCTCGGATCAGGTTTAGGGGTCCCTGTACCTGGCGTCCGTATAGTAGCTCGAAGGGAGAGAACCCAGTCGTTTCCTGGGGCACCTCCATGTATGCGAACAGGAGGTGCGGTAGGAAATGTTCCCAATCCTTATACTCCTGAGCGAAGGTTCTTAGCATCTGTTTAAGGGTCCCGTTGACCTTTCACAGAGCCCGTTCGTCTGGGGATGATAGGGGGTGCTGAGAAGCGATTTAACCTTACACACATGCCAGAGCTGCTGGGTTAATTCGGCAGTAAACTGAGTGCCTCTGCCGGATAGGATTTCCTTGGGAAACCCCACCCGAGAGAAGACCTGCACTAACGCGTTAGCTACAGTGTCTGCCTGAATGTTAGGTAGAGCCACCGCTTCAGGATAGCTGGTAGCATAGTCCACTATGGTCAGAATATACCGTTTACCGGAGGGACTAGGGGTAGCCAGTGACCCCACTAAATCAATAGCAACCCAGCTGAATGGCTCTTCTATAACGGGCATATTCATTAAGTGTGTTTTAGGATGGTCTCCCCTCCTTCCTATGCGTTGACACACATCGCATGTGCTGCAATGGGTCCGCACATCTACGTGAACCCCAGGCCAGAAGAAGGTATGGGTAATACGGCGAAGGGTGCGGGTTACAGCAAGGTTTCCTGCTAAGGGAATATC